TTTTTTATTGTTTTATTCTCATTTTATCGAATTTCCTGCACAAAGCATTCCCTATTTTACGTCAAAACGTAACGAACTTTGATGAAAATCAATCAATTAATTGCAGTGTTGGCACATGTAACTCATGAACTAAAACTTCATATTGAAACAGTCCAGAATTAATATTCCTTTTCAATATTGTTCCATTCAATTGACATTACTGAAATCACAGAAACTAATTACTGAACGCATTATTGTACCGTTTAATTTCTGTATGAAATACTGCTTTCGATAAAATTTCCTAGAATTTTAGATTGAATATGTAAACCACTATTTTGACAATCGTAAAAATAATTACAGTTGGAAAGCGTTAAGCAAAGCGACAAAAATTTAATAGGAAAATTGCAGAGTTCTGGTAAAGAGCTCAAATGCTTAACCCTCGTTTTATTAATCAAATACGCATACTTTCTGTAATTCACGAATTGCATGTTTATTTTACGTGTAAAAAATATTAAATCATAAATCATAAATCGCTGTATTTCCACAACCAAATATAACATCTTTTTTTTCAATATAAATAGAAGTGTTTGAACATAAAATATGCTCACTTTCAGGCTGGTGTACGTCGCGATTAGGAGCGTGAAAGTTAAGGAGATAAGGTCGCGCAATGATCAGACGCCCCAATAGGAGAATACAAGCTCGTAGAATTTCGCGCCGGCAACGTAAACGCGAAGTACTTATTTTGCCCTACGCCGACGCGTTCGAAGGGTTTTAGCAACAATTTCGAAGAGCACTTCCGGCCGAGATAACTCCTCCCCGGCTGAGAGTTCGCAAGTTTCCGCGGGATGCTACACCGAGAACTTTTCGAAAATTGAGGAAGACTCGGGGAGCGGGATCTCCCCCGTACTCGTTAGTCCTTCGAAAATCACGGAAACTTTGATCTCCGGCAATTTCGCTATAATTTCACACGCGACGTCGCGCATAAGACACGTGCAAATAATAACTTCCGGCGGGAACAAGGCGCCGCCATTAATTATTCCGTACAGTTCATTCGGACGCGTTTAATATTTAACTGCACCAAAATACATCGTGCTTTTTAATTACCTCTGTTTCTTGTCAGTTTAAAAATCATTCATCGAAACTGTTGGGGAATAATCTTCCTGTAAGTTGGCAATGATGTGTATTTATGGTGAAAGAGTAGTAATTGAGGAGCTAAAAGAGGCGTGAAATGTAGATAGGAACGTGGAAGTAAAAAGGGTTAAAGAGTACTGGAAGAATTCAAACAGAAAGGAGAATGTTACTTAAAATTGTTTATTTATTAATCACGTGTATTGAATTTAATTTGCTAATGCAACAGGAACAATATTTACGCCCTCGATGAGATTTATTCCTTGTCCTATTTTTTAAAAACTGTTTCAGGTTATCAACTGTTAATATTCAACAATAACACGGTCCAATTTTCAAATTCGAACCTTCGTATTTTTCTCCAAATACCCAACGTTGCCAGAGACTTAGAAAATCGAAAGGTAATCTTTGGGGGGTAAAAAGACGTTCAGTTTTCCTTCGAGACACGAACCCTGTCGGGTCGATCGAACGTTGGTAAATCTCGTTTCGAAATCGAGCACGCGCAACCGTATCCAGCGTATCAAAGGGATTACAGTTCAAAAACAATCCTCTCAGTGGCTAAAGAGACGTATGCAAGTCGAGATCCCCAATCAGTCTTAGTAGTCGTCTTAGGCGGGTTTAGCGAGCGGTTCCTGTAACCGACAGTACCGTAACACGATCTCAATCCCCCTTTGCTTGACGGTGGAGGGAACCCCGGTGGCACCGACACACGGGAGGATTGGGAAGGATATATCCTGTTAATTACGCGATCTCGGGTTTGCCTATGACGTTAGACGTCCCGGCCAGGACGTCTGTTTCCTGACAGCTCGAATTTCCTCTGTAGACGAATGTGTAATCTTGGGGAACAAAGGCCCGCCGCATTGCTTGCTTCTCGAATCCCAATCGGAGAAACTTTTATACGGTATCGTGATTGACTGGAGTTATCACCACCATAGAGAAAAGAAGGATCAGCTTTGAGGATAAAAATTACGAACGATGTTGTCAGTTTGGACGTCAGAATTTATAACTGAGGCAAGTAGCCACGAATCCTCTGTTTTCAACAATCTCTCTAAATTGTCCACCTCAAATTCACGGTAGGTCACTTAAAACTCAGAGTGGGCCACTAAAAGCTCGCGGTGGGTCATTCAAAGCTCGCAGTGGGTCACTTAACACATTGACTGCCACGTCACCCACATATGGGTGACACGACTTTTCACCAAGGAGTTAAAACAATTAATTCTCAAGATTAAATGTCAAAGAAAATAAAGCTAGGTAGATCCCTTGAATTTTAACGAGTCTATACACAAAAATTCCATGACAAATTCTTGGTATGCTAGTTTCCAATTGTCTAAAAGCAAAATTTAATTTTCCTTTTAATTTTAGGGGTTTGGTCTGACAGTCCACGTGTTAAAACTCACAGTGGGCCACTCGAAACTCGCTGTGGGTTACTTAAAACTCGCGGTGGGTCACTCAAAGCTCGCAGTGGGTCACTTAACCCATTGACTGCCACGTCTCCCACATATGGATGACACGACTTTTCACCAAGGAGTTAAAACAATTAATTCTCAAGATTAAATGTCAAAGAAAATAAAGCTAGGTAGATCCCTTGAATTTTAACGAGTCTATACACAAAAATTCCATGACAAATTCTTGGTATGCTAGTTTCCAATTGTCTAAAAGCAAAATTCAATTTTCCTTTTAATTTTAGGGGTTTGGTCTGGCAGTCCACGTGTTAAAATTCACAGTGGGCCACTCGAAACTCGCTGTGGGTTACTTAAAACTCGCGGTGGGTCACTCAAAGCTCGCAGTGGGTCACTTAACACATTGACTGCCACGTCACCCACATATGGGTGACACGACTTTTCACCAAGGAGTTAAAACAATTAATTCTCGAGATTAGATGTCAAAGAAAATAAAGCTAGGTAGATACCTTGAATTTTAACGAGTCTATACACAAAAATTCCATGACAAATTCTTGGTATGTTAGTTTCCAATTGTCTGAAAGCAAAATTTAAGTTTCCTTTTAATTTTGGGGGTTTCGTTTGGCAGTCAACGTGTTAAAATTCACAGTGGGCCACTCGAAGCTCGCGGTGGGTCACTTAAAACTCGCTGTGAGCCATTCAAAGCTCTCGATGGGTCACTTAACACATTGACTGCCACGTTACCCACAATATGAGTGACACGACTTTTCACCAAGGAGTTAAAACAATTAATTCTCAAGATTAAATGTCAAAGAAAATAAAGCTAGGTAGATCCCTTGAATTTTAACGAGACTATACACAAAAATTCCATTACAAATTCTTGGTATGCTAGTTAGCAATTGTCTAAAAGCAAAATTCAATTTTCCTTTTAATTTTAGGGGTTTCGTTTGGCAGTCAACGTGTTAAAACTCATAGTGGGTCACTCGAAGCTCGCGGTGGGTCACTCTAAATTCGTCCATGGGTCACTTAAAACTCATCGTAGATGAGTGACAATATGCAATTTGCCATGAATTACTCGAACTTTATCGTTTGTTACGCGAATTATCCAAATGCATTCACAGTCCAGAAGAACCATTACCTTGAAAAACTATTACTTTGAAATTAATATTGGAATAATATAATTCTACATAAACGAGAAACGCAACGAAGTACGTAAAGAAGCTGTAGTTATCACTGGGAACGTAAAATTAAAATTGATACCCGTCTATTTTCCGCAATATACCGGATGATGCAAGTCGTAAAAACATGAAAAACAGAAAGTCTTTCCGAACACAGGATGCTTTATGAATGCACACTGATTGCGACTACATTTTGATTGCCGTATTGGGGAACAAATTTGGTTTACATTTGCAAATACAGGTGCCTCTAAAATTAACTTCGACGCAAACGACGCTGTACGTTATCGTGTCTTTAAAAATTGCAGCGGACGATCGATTCGAATTGTGTCCCTCCATTGCAGATAAATACCGATTACTTATTTGAGCCTCGACATGCTTTTCTAGCTTCTCAATAAATTTCTTACTTGTCAAACTTACTTGTAGTTGCTCTCAGAAACTGTGCACCATCACATTAAAATAATTAAAAACGTACGTGAAAAATAAAAATAATTAAAACATTAGAAAATGTATGAAATGTGCGAAGAAAATATGGAAAACAGGATTCGAAGCGCGTTCTTGCGTAACGATTGTGCTCGAGAAACCCGTCTCGAGGATTCTTAAGATTTTTCAACAAACTTCTCCTTATATTAATACATAAAGGGAAGCGAAATAATAAAAATTTCGTTGTATTTTCTGGGAGATTCGAAGATTAACGTTCGGGATTGGCTGTGGAATCCGTAAAGCGATCGTTTAATAATCTCGTTGCGTAAATACGCGATGATTAAATGCACAATTCGCGCAAGAAATAGAAAGTTTTGAACGAGCACAGCTTCTTCCGGGCACTTCTATTGATCTTCCGCTAAAATTCAACGTTTACCTTTGCACGTGAAGGCGAAAAGTTCTATGGAACGAAAGTTTCGCCTCGAATAAGGGTACTGACATGGCGGATAAAGCGGCAGCTTCGCAGAACTTGCGTTAGTAGAGGGAAGGTGTATCCGCGTAGAACCATCATCGTTGGAACAATGTCACGAAAAACATTCGTGGAATTTTGTTATTCCCGAAGTCGCCTCGAACTTGGAAATTTTTATCGGAAGCAACGCTGCAAACGAGCAATTTTTCTGCTAGAAGAAGCTGGAAAATTCGACGATTCTATCTTTCATCGCGAATAAATAGAAGGCAGCTCGTGAATGTACGTATCCACACATCGAAATAAATAGAAAAAGAAACAATTAATTACGCATAATTTGTTTTAGGGAACTACTTTAAAAATAGTCGATTTTTAGTGCAAATCTGGTACGTCGTGCTCGAGTACTCGAAATTCTGGTATTGTTCCGTTAAAAATATATATTTTCCTCATAATTTCGTTACACGAACCTCTACACAATATTTAAAATTCAGTTTAATTATTCCCAACTGCTTACCAGCGTTTAATTGCAACAGAAGGTTCACATTATTTCGTCCAGCAGTACATTTCGATATTTCAAACTCATCGAGTATCGTTTCGAGAAGAGCGGACACAGTTTTACACATTTCAATTCCCATTTTTCGAACTGAAATATCATTTTGTTATATTCGAAAAGAAGTTTTAATCACGACAATTATTTTCTTACCTTCCGTTAATATTTTCCACCGGCCATGCAACAATATCCTCCCTGTCGATTAAAAGGCAATCGTACTTTTCAATGATGTTTTTTTTTCTTCAAAATCCGGCAGAGCAGAATTGACAAAAAATTGTATAATAAATTATTCCACTTACATCTCAATATATTGACGCTTATCGGTTTTTGGAAGACTAGGAAGGCACGAGTAACAGGGAATTAAGGAACTTCAATGTATCCGATGAGATCAATGATAGCGACGAAAGTACACCAATGTTTCTCCGGTAGAGCTGTTTTCTTTTTTTTTTCCATTGCTTTCCAAAAAAAGAAAAAAAAACACACACTTACAAATACAGGTGCACTTTGGAAACGGTCACGGAAGTACATGCGTATGAAAAGCACACTTTACAAAAGATATCACGCACCCACGTTCCATTCAGCCACGACACGCGCTCGATCTCGCGCGAGGCCAGAGAACTGTGAATCCCCCATTCGCGATAGGCGAATCCCCGTAAAAAAAAAAGTTTGACGGGAGCGCGTCGTGTCAACGCGAGGAACTGTGGCACAGAAAATCGTTTCGTTTCGCGAAGAAAACGACAACCTTCCCGTTAAATCGCTGACAATCGGCGGAGTTTCATCGTCGAAGAACGATCTACGGTGGTGGATACAGAGAGGGTGGAGGGATAGAGATCACCCCCCTTCTAGACTGACCAAAAACATTGATTCAAAGTATGGTAAACTTTCAACATTTAAATTTATAATTTTCAGAATCTTTTTTGTTAGCTACCCCTCTCACTTTGAACTCATTGTCAGATCCACCGTTGGAATAAGACACTTTTTTCAATGGAGACTGCATAAACATCTCAACGATGAAACCGCCAAGCATCGAGACGCTCCCACGAACCGATTCGAAAATATTCCGCCGGGAATCACCGATTCTCATTCACGCATTTCCCATTTGCACATATACTTTTTCTTCAGTTTCTTCGTTATGTACACAGAAAGCCGAACGTCGCGGTTGTTTTTGATTCTCAAAACGTTTTCTCTCTCGTAATACGTACACTATGTACATCACCTATGTACAAACTTCGTCGAGACGGACAGAACAAAACTGGATGAAACTTCAACAAGAATATCAATATTCAATAACAATGTAACGGTTTCCCAAGTCGCGCTCAAGCTCGATAAAGAATAATTGACCGATCGACGTCAAATCAACAAACGAATACACGCGCCCCCGGTGATCGTTCGACGCGTTGCCTTTTTACAAGTCTTTTTTATATCTTCTTTTTACAATTGGACACAGTTCTCACGACGATTTCCAACCTCCATTTCCGTTTTACCGGCAGTCTCAACGTCTGTCTCACTGAGAACCCGTGAAAGGGTTAGGACGCAGAGTTCTCGGTCCTCTCGTGAACGACTTGACTCGAGTCCTCGCGATTTATGCAGTCCCTGATTGCTTGGAGTATCACGCGCACCCTTCTGTCGAGGGCTGTGAAGTGAGGCTCCCATAAAACTGGCGCCACCGGGTCCTTCGCCATACTTTTTCGCATTGCCGCGCTCAAAGACACTGGTCCATTGTGAAACCTACAAAAAAAAAAAAGCACAAAGGATCATGTCGCTGGGCTGTTAGCGGTCGCTAAAGGTTTGTGTAATAAACCAACCCTTCGTCATGAATGGAGTCGAAAAAAGAATACAAAAGGATGACAAATGGCTCAAAGAACATTATACACGATTTTTTTTAAAAGAAAAATTGCAAATTTCTCAATCTCCATATTTTGCGTACACATTTATCTATGGTTCACGAATGCTCGCGATTTTTTTCCAAGCGAAAATGCGAATGGTGAACGCATCCAAAAAACTTCTCCATCCCCAACGATGGGGGCTTTCAATATTCACAGAATCAAAGTAAGTCGATCGTTTTTAATAAACATGCAAATCCGCGGACGACGCAGAAGTCGTCGGGACTGAAAAGATTAAAAAACGTGACCCCTCCCTCCCCCTTCCCCCTCTCCATCCCCCTGTCCCCAGTAAATTGATCAGCTCTCGCGCCCGCGCGCTTCGGAAGGAATTTTTCAATAAAAATGCAAATAATCGTAATTAGAAGTCCTCGGACCGATCGGAAGATACGTATCTTCGTTTCTGTTACGCCGGTTCGATGATTATTTTTGCAACGCGTAGGTTGAAGAACTCCCGGTGGTGTTCGAACCTCCATCGAGATTTCGAGACGGAGACCAATAATGGAGGATCTAGGTCTGCCTCGCGGAAGAGGCAATGAATAAAGTATCGAGTTAAGTAGACAACTCTTGGATGCCATTTATACTATACTTGATAGTCCGTCTCCCTTCAGCTTCTCGAGTATAGTTTTGGAACACCTAAATCCATCTTCCTTCCACTCTATATTACGTTAGGAAATGGTACGTGAATTATTCAGTCGTTTAATCAAAATTTAACAAAATTTCCTTTAATCACGTTTGCTGCAGTAAGATTTTAAAAACGGTACTATAAAGGTACGCTTGTGGGTTACATATATGTAGTTTTAAAACACCTACATCTATCTTCCCTCCATTCTATATTATGTTAGGAAATGGTACGTGAATTATTCAGTCGTTTAATCAAAATTTAACAAAATTTCCTTTAATCACGTTTGCTGCAGTAGGATTTTAAAAACAGTATTATAAAGGTACGAACGTGGACCACGTATAGTTTTGGAACACTTAAATTTATCTTTTTTATATGTTAGGAAGCGGTGCATGGATTGTCCAGCACCGCTGAAATAGATGTGTTATTTATTGCTACTGGCAACAGGTAACAGAACTTTTTTTTACGACGCGAGAAAAACCAGAGACGCGGAATCTCGAATAGTAAATATTTTATCTTACATCTTGCGTGCGATAAAATATTTTATTCCCCGATATTTCATTCCCCGTTTAAAATATTTCTTTCTCGAACTACCCTGTTATTTCAAACGATATCCGAAATATTTGTTCCTTTCGATTTTGCGCAGCTCCGAGAACAATCTTAATTCGATAAATTACAATTGATTTAATAATAGAGAAATTGTTTTTTAAATGATCGGTGTAGAAGTTTCGATCGACGATCGATTTAATGATTCTAATCCCCAGTAATCTCGTCGATTATTTTTCCACTCCGGCGAAATGGGTAATGTAATTTTGAAATATTCGCCGCGAAAAACCGAATCTCGTGCGGTGATTGAGAGGTATGAACGCGATGAATATGTATATCGACGCGTCGTTGTTTCGAATAATCAGGAAACATATCAAATTGCAAACTTAATTATCTAATAACGCATTCGTAGCGCCGTGCCACATAACGTTGCGCATTAACGCGCACGATGCGGCTAGCTGGATGGGAATTGAATGAAAACGAAGTCATAATGAAAAAAGCAACCATGACTGACGCGATGAAGTAGCCACAGGATGCAATTATCCTATAATATCTGGTTTAATGGACAGTGTGTGGGCTTCTTTAATATGCTTTCAACGAGCAGCATGATTTCATTTGAGAAGTTACATCGACTCGCGACTCTCTCTAAGAATAACCAGAATAACCGATCGTTCAACGCGATTATTAAATTCTTCGCGATAAACAGCCATCCAGCTATCGATCTTCTACCTTCAGCCTGTATCCTACCCCTTAAATTAACCTTAATATACAATTATTCGTAATCGTGTTCGTACGCAAACGTTTAATATAAATGAGAAGAAACGTGTTACCTGTTAGTACCTTTACCTTGATCACATTTTGCTTCGTTACACCAGTCTGGTTCTATTTACTAAAGCTGTTTTGGTTTTCGTTTATTCAACTGGCTATACAAACTTTCACTTGTACTCGTACGATACATTTCTAAAGGATTTTTTTATGTGAATTATAATATTAATGCGACACCCTATTACAAATTTGGTTCAAGATTTCGTAAAAGAAAAGTATATTAGTATTCTATAGGTTAGCGTGGCGCCATCTACAGTGATGATTCGTAAAATGAACCCCAGATTCGTAAGTTGAACGTTTCCATAGAGATCGCACATCGTTTCATATGTACGATAACTGGGGTGCAACATTAATCAAAATTGGAGCCACTAATAGGCCTAAACACATAGACACTAATCAGTATCGACATATGGGGTAGATAGAAGGATGGAATAGAAACGTTCAATCAACGAATCACGTGTGGACCTAGCTTTAAGGGTCATTGTTCGTCGGTTAATCGAGATCCTACCGTGTCTGAGGGTTCGATTCAAGGCGTAAAAACTAAATCGAACCGCGAAGGGTCAAAGGATTCAACGGGTACCTTCGGTTCGAATCTCCTCGAGGATTCAATCTAGGGTACATTTTTATCGAGACAGTGGCAGGTGTCGCGCACCGGGGGAAGAAATACGCCCGGCCCGCCAAGGAGATATCGGCGGTTCGAGTTAGTAGCTCGTAACGGCGGCTTAAGCATCGGTGCTCCCCCGGACAAATCGATAATCGGTTGGCGGAATCGTGCATCGGTCACCGCACACCCACGCCCGGCGCACGTGGCGTGGACTATGCGTGTCGACGAAATCCGCTTCTCATCGAATTTATCGCGCCCGTAAAAAGCCCGTCCCCGTGAATCCGCATCAAAGCGGAGATTCACGAGCGACGGTACTGGCGGCCAATTCTGGTAAAACGTTTCACTCCGAAATCCGCCTTATCCGGACACACACCCCCCCCCCCCCTCCTCGGGTCGTAAAGTTTTCCTGGCGTTTCCCTTTTTCGAAATCCGCGGCGAGAGAGAGAGAGAGAGAGAGAGGGACGATTGCTCTGAATTGTAAATTTTGGACGATCGATCCCTTGCGACGGCTACGATACGACCACCGTGGAATTAGAGACGCAAGAAGGATCGACGATCGACGGTCTTCCACCGGGCGTGGACAAATCAATCGAAGCGAATCAGAAACTGCAGAATGTTTATTTTATTCGTCGCTATTTTTTGTTAATGGGACCTCTACTAATATATTTGCTGGGGTTTTCTGGTTGAAATAAGACCAAACGCGATATAACTTGAATCGTATTTGCGTATTTACTCGTATTTAACACGATCTTGTACTTTATCAGAAGCTGGTTAAAAACAAATTATATCGTGTTTGGTCTTATTTTAATCAGAAAACTGTCACCAATACATCGATAAAAGTTTTATTTAAAAAAAGACGAAAATAAACAAGTTTCGTCTTTGCATTCTGTACTTTGCATTGTCACGCGAGGTTTAGGTTTTACGCGGTCCGTTCGACATTAAGCCTTCTGTCTGTCATGGTGTTTTAAATATGAGGTTATCTTTACGACGTCACCATCGTGATTTAATCATATAATTGCAACTTTAATTATCATTTAACAACCAACGAATGAGCAGTTCATTCGTTATTCGAGTTATCTATATTTTCTCCATTTCTGTTGGATACAAGGTTCGAAAAATGAAAGTATCGACTAGGGAGACCTCCCACCAGTTGCCATGTCGAGGGAAACTCTTCCACCTTTTACCGCTTTGGCCAGGCAGTTGGAACGCTCAGAGACAACTGCCCGGAAGTATCGATGTCTGAAAGTATCCAACAGGACCACGAGAATAGAGTTTTCGTTTGTGGAAATGTCTCCCCTAACCAAGTCGATTCTTTCACTTGCTGGGCTTTAGTTCTACTTATACGCTACTCCCCCGAAGAAATTAATTCCCACTGTTGTTAAAATTGCTGATAATTCCAAGTTCCTTCTGTTTCTCATCAAATCGTTACTTTGCACAAACTAGACATGATTTTGTATTATGTACCAACTACTGAGTTTTCAGGCTGACGATGTTATGAACTTCTATAGATTTGTATTACATGACAATGTAAAATACCGTGTCTTGTTGAAAGACTTTTCTCATCGTGAGTTACGCACCAAACAGGTGGAAGGGGTCGAGCAAGTTTCCCTTCAGTTTGTCGAAGAGTAGTTAGGAAACTATATAAAAGTACGAGTAAAGTAATTAATCAAGAATTTCTGAAACTTCGATGTAAACTTACTTTAATAGAGTGCTTAGGGTAGTTTGTCTGATCATGCAGCATTGCAAGATGGGGGCCAGGATGGAGATCTCATCGTGGAAGGGTCGTCCAAAGCCCCTGCCGTGATCCAAATGCAAGGGGAACGTGTTGTTGCCGAATATCTTGAATGTTTCGTAGTGGTGTCTGTCCATATTTCCCATGAGGAAGTCTAAGACAGCCATGTCCATCAAATCCAACAGCCTTCGACCCTCGTCGTACGGCGGTATTTCTTTCACTAGGGAACAGTAATCGGAATCTGAAACCATTGAAATACAGAATATTAGCAATTTCTGCACGAGACATGTTTTGACAAACGAAAATTTGTCAGTCATTTAACACTAAACCTATCACGAAAGGAGAGAATCTTCAGCTTCCACTGTCTTAGAACAGTCTAACAACGCGTATTAAAAATAGGTAAACTTTAGACGCGTGTAGTTCCGAAACTACTAGTGCTTTATTCAAAATTGACCCACTGTTAGAAGCGGTAAGGTCTCCCCTTTAAAATGGTTTTTGGTTTTTGTCGATCGGACTTTCCGTTTCGGAGATATCGTAATTTATGTAAAAGGTAGTTTTTCTTAATTCGACTATCGCTGTCTCCGTCTAATGCATCGCGTCGGACCTCCTTGTCGCGCGTTGACCGAGTGCACGTGCGGTCAATGACCTTAGTAAGAAAGTAAACAAACGCTTCGGACCCTCATATCTCCGAAACTAGCCACCGCATCGACTTGAAACTAAAATCGCTATATCTCCGGAACTAATAAAGCTATCGACTCGTACAAACGCTCATTTTAAAGGGCATTTCATCCCCTATCCAATGACCATACCAACTACTATAATTTATGCTGTCTTCTATGTTTATTTTCACATTAACTTTGATGCTACATACCCAAACTAAATCATAAATTATTTATTTAGTTGAAAATGAATTTAAGTTTGTATACAGGACGTTCGCGTAATTACTAACCAACAATTTTTCGTAAATAGTTAACCTATGTGACAGAAGTGTACGTAAACACAAAGCCCAACTTATTGTACATAACAGAGAAAAAAATAAATTTCTTATTCCAAATAAAAAAAAAACAAACGTTATTAAAACTTCATATACTTGATATTTAAAAGTTATTCATACTTTAACTCGCTCTGTAACAGTATCGGGGTCATGAAAGTCTTCTTTATGAAACGGTTTCTGTTTCATATTCATAAGAATTCCCGTTCTCGAGATAACATCATTTAAAGCAAAGCATGATTTTTAATATTCCGCTATCTATGTCTTCGCAGCTGGATTTCTTGCTCGCAGATGTTAATTCACCTGATCGAACACCGCCACGAGTGCGTTGGTCAGTAACAAATACCGGATCAATGGTCTTTCGTTATTATTTAAAGGGAACATATTCGTTTCTTTAAAAAAATTGGGTCGCCGCGTTTCCAAGAATTTTGTCTGGCATTCGGCAACCCCGTGCATTTTAAATGCGCGATTTAAAGTCCGATATCTCAAGAATCGATTGACGCATTCACGCGAAATAAAATGCATTATCAAGGACACGCTTTCCTCGATCTACTGAATCGATTTACATTTAAAATTTCACGATGGTTTTCGACGTATTTTATATTCAAAGTTAACCTCGCGTTCCTATCCACCGAAAGGCATCAGTTTTAGATGCAGAACGTCTTCTGGGCCTTGAACGACGTAATACATTTCCACATAATTTACAGCTTATTTTATATGTTAAATATATTCTATTTGGTCGAATAATTCGGTCAAACGATAGAATATATATTTTCTTTATGTTGCACTATTTCAAACGTTAATTTCACTATTTCAACAGCAACACGTAGAAAGTGGAACTGTACAGATGTGCGATACGAGTAATTTTCACTAGATATAAATTTTTTTTATTGATCTCCACGCTCGTGAAACCCTTACCGTGCTCCCACTGCGCCTTTTTCCGTTTGTGGTAACTCCTTCTCCAAGGGTGTCGCCAGGCTTTCCGCGTGACCAACGATTTATCCGGCAAAAACGCGGCAAAACTTCCTTCGAGGGTGTCCGGATTTCCGCAAATCGCGTGCGCCGTATCGCAGTAATAACTGCACTTGCCGTGGAAGCAGATATTACCGGCGGGACTGACGAAGAACGTCTTCAAGAGCTCGCCGTCGGCGATCTGATAAACCTCTGTCGTCAGGTTCAATGTTCTACCAGTGACTGGCATCGCCCTCCGGAACCCCAATAGTCTGTAAACAAAATTCGAGGAAATCCTTACTCGACGTTCCACCAATCTCATTTGAAGAAACTATTAAATCGTTCTAAATTAATCTCTACCCTCTGAGGGGACGTCGTGAATCTAGCAAACTCCAAGAACGAGTCTTTTTCATGATGGGACACAATGGAGATTTTTGCCAATTATATTGAACCAAATGACGTAGGAATTTTTTTCTCGACACTGGGTAGGATTTTAGGGGTATGTGTATTGACAAGAAATGATTGTAATTGCCCCCCGTAAACGAAAATAATTTTTTTACGACGATTTGAAATTTTTTTTTCGCCGAAAAATTCGTCCACCTTCCTGAATTTTTTACTCGAAAATGCGTAGGATTTCGGGGGTATATGTATTTACCAAAAATGGTTGTATTTGACTTCAGAACCTACAAATAATTTTTTTAGAACGATTTGAAATATTTTTTTTTCATCGAAAAATGTCTACACCTACTCGAATTTTTTTCTCGAAACTGGGTAATATTTCGGGAATATGTGTAATGACCAAAAATGATTGTAATCGACCCCTGCAACCGAGAATAATTTTTCCGGAACGATTTGACATTTTTCTTTTTAGCCGAAAAATTTGCCCTACTTTTCTGAATTGTTATTATCGCAGTATCGTCGATTACATAATATTACAATATTATAAAGAAAGGTGTATATTACCTGTCTAAATGGAAGGCTGCGATTTCCGCCGTATGTCTCTCGAAGTCGGTGAAATAAAAATGATTTGGTAGTGTCTGCTGCTCCCGAGGAAACCTATCACAAACATTATAGTTATTAAGCATTTGAATCGACTGATTTGACACTTAAATATTCGAGAGTGGTTTTAAACAACCCCCAGAGAAATTTCGAAAATTATTCCAGGATTAAAAAGCATTTTAAGCTTTCCAGATACGAATCGAAATGTTTCTCGCAAGATCTCTGTTCGATCTCGAGGCTCTAGGGATATTTGCGTTTCCTGATAAATATATTTCCGTTTGAGGGCACCGCCGAGATTTACCAATGAGAATACACGACCAGGGAACTTTACGTGGAAAGTACAGCGGAAAATGGAGGAGAGAAAGTGGAAACGGAAAGTGGCTTCCACTTTCGATACTTCTTCTCGACTGTACTTTATCGAAATTAGTATCGTAAAGCATTTCAACGCACTAAAATATAATTGTCTTTAATTTACTTAGGTGATCACACAAAATGGCAAAGTCCAATATTACTTATGAATAAATTAACGTAATCGCTGGGGTGCCAAAATATTCCACAATACCAAAAATCTCACTTGCGTCGCTAAAGTAGAGCAAGTAATCGATCGCCATTTGTTGGATCACTTATTGATTTTTAGATCAGTCTGTACTGTAACACATCTGTAACTCATTACTTGTTACAAATAAAACGTATATAATTAAAATAATACACTGTGCAGTAAAAAAAAACCTCAACAGTGTTTAATGAAAAATAAATTTTTTCGATTATTTTGTGCTCAGTACGAGCGATTAATTCTAAGTACATAATTGTAATGGGTGAAAAATTGTGTTTTGCGAACTAAAATGAAATTGAGTCGTAGGGAGTCCCCCACGATCAAGTGTTTTCCCTCTATTTGGTTTGTTTGCCGGAAAATATTTTTCTCGTTCAAGGACAGTCACGTACCACCGTCGTCTGAATCTAAAGGGAGACGATTTCGCGAGAAAACACGGCGATATGGAGAGAGAGAGAGAGAGAGGGGGTATAGGTAGAGACAGAAGAAATGGTCTAACCTCCCTCTACGGTTTTGCCGTGGAAGTCGACGGCGATAAATAAAAAAGGCATCCCGGGGGAATCCTTCTCGTACGTGTGCACCTTTTCTCGTGGAACACGGGAAAGGAACAAGAAGCCTGAATTCCGTCGGTGTACTGACGTTGAACGAGTGTGCTCCAACGAGACTCGATGGGAATGTAAATAATGGGTAAAACTTCTGCGCGAAAACAATTATTCTTGATAAAAATTTCGACGAATCCGTGAACGTTTGGTCCACGGCGAATTGAAAAAATATCAGAAAGGCTTTCGAAAGAATCGATCGCGATACAACAAATAGAACAGATTTAAAATCTCCACGAGGGTCGAAACAATGTTTGCGCCATCGATTTTATTGAAATATTATCGGAGAATTACCGAGCGATTGTAATAATGAACAAACGTGAACAAAGTTTCCGTAAACATTAAAATCTTTTTAACCGAACGCAAATATTTCCGGAATAATTCCCGCGGGAATAAACGAAACAACGGACAATAACAAGGGAAACATGCACGACGCGAGAGATCTCGAAATGCACCGCCTCGAAAGATTCTCTCCTCGATCAAATATTTATTCACGATCTTCCTGTAGATTTTACGAGCCACCTGGTACGTACACGGTGGATCTATAACGCCATCGCCGAGAACCGAGTACACTGAAAACGTACATACGTCCGCGTTTACCAAAATAACGATTAATTCAAGGTCCCTAGATATTTAACGACGGTGATCAAATTACCATACATTTATGCTCGAAATTAATTCTCTCGTATCGAATAATTCTGGGAAACTTTTGGAATAAAAGGACAATTTTATTTACAACAAATCATACTGGTAAACTGTTTTTGTAATATCTTGATAGCTGTTTATTTAAACCCTATTTTTGTATTTCGATAGAAGAGTAAAGTCGTACAAAATTGATTTCAAGAATGCCCTTCTTGACATGCAATTTTTATTTGAAACGTATCTTCGTACACCAAATAATTTATGAGTGACTCGAAGTTGTCAAGTTTCTTTTTTAACAACTCGTTCTTAATATAGAATTTTAATATCGTAGTCAATTTATACAAAAGACATATCGTGCACAAATTTTTTAAACGTAAAAATAGTAACACCGTTCATTATATTAGAAATGTTATTAATATACCAAGTTAAATGCAAAAATGTGAAGGTATTCGCTGTTTATAGACATTGCAATTGCTAATTACCAGTAAAAATTTCACGAATTCTACGTTATTTACCAATATTCCAGTAGACCGATTTGCCAGCAATATTGAGATGCAATGGGCTGATTTCAAACAAACCGCATTACTTTGATCGAATAGCTAGCATAGCTCTCGATTAGAATACCATGGAAATCTGAGGTATTGTTTTTTGGCATGTTTATGTCGAAAACCTTCAAATTCGAAAATATCGGAATTTAAAACTCATTGGAGGTACGAAAGAATCGTACTAATTATTTAAATTTCGTAATTTATGACTTCTGAACAATTTCTGAAAAATTCGAGTGTTTCTATATATGCACACAATGCTCTAGATTCTTTAAGGAGATTTTTTATATAGAATTAAATAAATGACGTGTAATTACATATATTATGGAATTTCTTCCTTGAAATAGACATGGAATCGAAATGTATTTTAATACCATGCATGTACAGGACGTTTCAAAACAATGAGACAAGTCAAAATATGCATATTTGGTCCAGAGAATGGCGTGGGTTTACGATACGTCTCGTACTCGCCAGCAGAGGGCTACGCTTAACCTGTACCTTTCTCACAAGTGCTCGATCGAGTTCTTGATCCTTTTTAAATTATTTTTCTGAGGTTCGAATACTAATTTAGTCTTCCCAAATATAGTGTTTCTTGGTGTCCTTGCCATAAATTCCAGCACATACAAAGTCTTTCCAGAAACTTTAACAGTAGTTGGGAAATTGATGGGTATCGGTATTGGTAAATATCTCATTGGATCGATCTTAATGCTAGTTCTCGAAAAGCGACGCATCATTCTTCGAAAAAAAAGAAGAAACAGCTAAACGGTGACACGTAAAACAACGAGGAAAGTTTTAATTCATGGGGCGGTAAATTATTCGACACGGCGGGACGAGTTTATACCGTTTCCTCCGAAATGTCAGTCACAAGAAGTTCACCGTTTTACTGCGATGCTTTATTGGCAAATGTAGTGACGCTCGGAAGGTTGCAGGTGGTCGAGATTGCTGACGAAAATAGATTAGAACGAAAAATAGAACGACTCGGGTGCCCCCCGTCTTCTTTTAGCGAACACTAACCTTTCGAAAAGTCGTTAAAAGCGTAAATATTTATCATTTGCTAAGCTAGGAGCTTCCATGCACTGGTGAGAAATTATGCTCCCCCACGATAAGAAATTGCAACTTGAGCAGAACATTTTTGACGGTTTTTCGTGAGAAATTATCCGTTCCAAAGGTAAGAAAAATGTTGATTTTTTGAGATATTCTTAATCAATGTTTACGACACAATTTGTACGTATTTGAATAAATTTGACACAAGGAAGATATTTAAATATTTGCTGTGTTTATAAAAAATATTCAGACGAAATAACTTATACAGCTCTTATTGGTGACTGCTAACCTAGAGAGTTGTGCATAGTAATATGCCTAAAAATATTATCTTCACCTTTCCATGCCTTGACATTATGATACCTGGTGGACTATAATAAATCTTTTCATGGAATGTCCTAAATTCAAGCTGCTGATATAGAAGAAACGGATCGAGCCTGATATTTTTAAAAAGTAACCTCAAAACTCTAAGAAACAAACTTTGCTAAATTTTTTCAACAATTTTTCTGCTCCATACAGGTTGCATCGAATATTAGAGTTACAGCTATTTTCTGTAAATTTAACAGAGATATCAACATTATTTTTCTATTTTAAATTAACTTTAACCACGCAGAATAGAAAGTTCTCGCAATAACACAAAATAAAAGTTACTCTCTATTTGAAAAAAAGATCTTTCTCTTGCAACTATTTATTAATTTGTATAATAAATTCTACCGAAGTTGCAGACCTAGTTAGGAACGATCTCGTTTATCTCTGAATAAAAAATTTTCTAGAATCAGAGTTCAGTGCCAAAATAATTTTCTATCAAGAAATCCTTTCGAAAGCTTCGGTCCGGTTTGGTATCCGAGTGTGGCGTCGCCTCCCACGCTCGCCGCCAGAGGGATCGCGCTCTCACAAGCGCTCGACCGACTCCTTGGTTGCTATACATTCCTCGAACGACTTCTTTAAGGGAGGGTCTGCTAAAAAGCCTTACTGACGAGTCCACTAGCAAACCTAGTCGAAACCGTGCCCCCTCCTTTTCTTTTTTCCGTCCTCCTACGATTCTCACGAGTTCCTAACCGCATTAAAGCAGCGCCACACGTGTGTAAATTCAGATTTTCGTAAGATCAAGAGGTAACCATACTAACGAGTGGCGCGCGAAACGATTCCAAATATGGAAACGCTTAAAGACAGCGGGCCGACACGGAGCAACGAGACTTGGAAAACCACGGATGGCTGGCCAGGGGAAACTTCTCCGAGCAGCCTGGGCTAATTAATACGACGGTCGAGCGGTAATTAGCGCGTAATTTGCATCTGATTAAAAGTTAACTGGCGTCGCAAGGCAGCCAGCCAGGCCTCGCCGCCCTGACCTTCCGACTTCGCTGGCATAATTTTGTTTACCGAGCTTCTCCGTTCGCGAATTTTCGGGGCACCGTTCCGCCCCCGTGCCGCGAAAGTCTGCGGAAAAGATAACCGGTATTTGGAGGGAATAATTGCGCGGAACAAGAACCCCGCTAGTCGCCTGGTATTTTCTATTCAAATGAACCGGTTCGCAAATTGTCCCTGGCAATTATTAATCGTAGGTATAATAAGGTGTGCTGCTTGTTTTGGCACTCGAGCGACGGGATTCAAACTATTTCAAGACGAACCCAGTCAAGAAACGTAACTCAAGAAATTTCCCGCCGCGAAACCGTTGTTAAC